AATGGATATATTCTTATTATTTTAAAATTTGCTCATGGTTTTTTACATAGTTCATATTTTCAGTGCATAATTTAATAATTTTAGGGCATATAAATGCATATTTTCGAACTTTTTAGTGCATATTTTAATGCATATTTTGCTAATTTTTAGGGCATGAATGCATGCTTATTTATGCATTTTTCAGTACATGAACTTACGAGCCCTGGTTATCATATATTATTTATATTAAATTATACAGATCTGTGACGACGAGTGTTGGAGAGAAATAGCAATTCGCGAGCCTGCCAAATCCTGTGGCCTACTTACTATACATAATATGCATCGAGRRGCCTGGGAGCGCGCGCGGGAAACCAATAATTGGTGCGGACGAACGATGACAGGGGTAAGTCAACTATCGTGTTTAGCTCGTTCGCTGGGATYCGTATTAATATTGGACCTATACGGCTATGCTTCGTAATACATAGCATCCGGACGACCGGCTTCTCGGTTGAGTACTCACCGGTTTTGAGCGAAATTCCTCGGCGACGACGATCAACGACGACGGTTCACCTGTTGCGGAATAACAACTATGATATTATTATGGTTTGTCGTTGGCGGGCGATCGAAAAAAAGGCGGACAAATGATTCGCAAAGCAAACAGAAGCGACGACACGGCGAACAAGTTGAAGTAATAACAAATTAACAACAACTGAAACGTAAACAACTCGGGCACAAGCACAACAGTTACTCGAATAAAAACCACGGGTGAACGGTATCTGTGCACAGGCGTGTCACCGTGGGCCGAGGGAATTTTTAGTACAGTGAAGCCAACGCAACGGTAACAATGGTAATATCACGATCTACGGTGTCTCACCTGTTGTTATTCGCCAAGGACGRGACTCCGGTCGGTGGTTAGTGTAGAATTATAAAAAAAAATAGTATCATAAAACAGTATAGAACTTACAACTATAGAAGCATTAGAAGCGTTAGAACTTAGAAGCGACACTCTGCTTGTTGGTCGATCTCTGATGGTTTAGTTGTTAGTGTTAAAGTTGTAAATGATTTAAATGTTAGTATAGAAGTCTGTAGTCTGCACAGTTGCATTCTGGTTTTAGCCTAAAACTTTTAGACAGATACCATGACTAAAGAAAATATAAATATTTCTATTCTAAATGTTTATGTAAAGTCCCAACGAACCAAGCAAATATCTATAATAGACTATATTAATAGTAAATATTAGATAATATTATAAGTACATAATATAATAGTACCTACCTATAAAAGCGGGTAAGTCGTGGATGTCGCTCTGCTGTACAGTAGATTACAAGTGGGTTACTGTAATGGATGGAATTAAATTTGAATCCAATGATATTATATAATTGTAAACGAAAAACRATTCTAAGCGGAGACGGTTTATCTGTCTAGGATATATTATATATTATTAATATTTTAAATCTTAGATTTAATAGATGGTGTTTAACTGTTTATTATGTTGTTTAAAAAAACGATTAATAAAATATGTATTTATTTTATTTTTCAACTGCTATTGTAAAAATATGTTATGAGCCTTGTATTA